GTCCAGCTTTCACATCCATATGAGGCTATTGAAAACACAATGGCCTGGGTCAGGCGCACCTTAGTCCTCAAGCTGATATCTCTGCTTGAAGTTTAAAAAAAAAAAAAGGTTTTCTTGATGAAAGAAACACTCCTATGATGGTTATGAGGGGCAGGGGAAATTATTCATGGGCTAGAGAGTTGACACATGTTAACATGGGTGACCGGGCAGGCGACATACAACAAGAGGGGAGTTTAGAAGAGGAAAAGATGAAGATGCAAGGTGAGAGATTAAGGAGAAATGTAATAAAGTGAATAGAGATAAATACTGTTAACTGTTGGCACATGGAGGGGACTGCAACCATGTAATGAAACACAATATGATTTGGTGAATGCAAAACTGATGATCTGCTCTATAAACTTTCATTCAATTCACAATAAAAAGTTGTAAAAAAGATAGCACTACAGACAAAAACTGAATAAGCTTATTGAGGTGTCTGTAGTTCTGATGCTAGATGAAAAAGCATGAACTATGGGGTGAAGAAGAGAAACATCTTAATCATTTCAACATGGTTTCTATGAATAAAAATCTTCAGGAGGACTGTACTGTATTGTATGGACACCATAATATACATATGCATTGTTAATTATAAACTATAAATTAATGGCCATTCTGCCAAGTGAAAAATCAAAAGGACCATTTGTGCCAAATGCAAAACAAAGTCTTTCTAAGCCAAGCAGTTACAATGGTTTCTAAGAGTGGCTGGTTCCTTTCTTCACTATTGTATATATAATGTTGTTGTTAAATGTCGTTGAGTTGGTTCAGACTCATAATGACCCTATATAGGGTTTGAGGATCAGCTGGTAAATCTGAATGACCAAACTTGCAGTTCAGTGGCACTTTCCTGCCACACCACACCAGGACTCCATTGTATATGTTGTTAAGTATCATCGTATCAGTTCTAACTCATAGCAAGCCTGTCTAGGGTTTCCAAAAAGCAGCTAGTGGGTTTGAACAGCTGATCTGTGGTTCACAGCCCAGTGCTGATCCTACAGTGCTACATAGTCATTATTTCATTTACTTGGTCCCTTGGAGCTAGCTTATCTATGGTCATATACCAGTCTTAGTATATAACATTGGGAGAAAAGGATTGCACAGTAATTTATTAAGCCATTTTGTGTCCTATTCACATCTATCTCCTACTCTTCACAACAAGTATTTCCAAACTTGATCACCACCTAAGTCCCTTTACTACCTAATCCCCTATTCTTAGCAAATGAGTCCATCATGCCCTATTTCAGGGAGAAAAAAAACTTATTTCCTGTTCTTTCTTCTTTTATCACCTTTTACTTCTCCCTGCGATCTCAGTTCTATCATTTTGTATGTCCTTGGGAGCCTCATTCTCGGACCAGAACTTTTAACTTTACTGGTTCAGTCCTTTCCACTGAAATTCTCATTTACCTACTATCTTAAGTCTACCCACCTTAAATTTTCTCTAGTCACTATGCATCTCTTCATAATAAAGCATCTTGAAAACAAAAATAGTCTACACTCAGTCTTTACCATCCAGTCATTCTGTTAGTCTCTTTTGCATCCACAATTATGTTAGAACTATTCTGCCCAGTGTCTCCATTGTAATTCCAACAGGCATGTTGCTCTCCTTATTCAATGTCTCTCCAGTGTTTAATTCTGTTGTTTACCCCCTTTTTCTACGATCTACTCCCATTGCTGTCAAGTACATTACACTTGGTTCTCACCTCCAAACTCTTCTTTACCAGGCTCTAAATACAACTTGCCTTCTCTATCTACTCTTTCAGCATGTCTGTTCTCCAGAAGGGTCTTAAGTGTATCATACCCTCCTGGGGAACTCATCAAATCCTATGCCTTTGACAACAACCTATATGCTGAGGACCCCAAATCTACATCTGTAATCCAAGTATTTCTCCTAAATTCTAGACTGGTATATTCTTCACTAACAACTGGACAGTTCCATTTCAACCTCCCACTAACACCTAAAAATAAAATGTCTCTACCCTTTAAGCTAAAGTCTAAACTCCCTAAAGTGTCCCAGAAGACCTTCTATTCAGCTAGTACCTTTTTATCTTTCTAGTCTGGTCTCAAAACATTTTCTTCTCCAGCCACACTGAAGTTCCAAATGAATTACACTTCCTCACAGTTTACATCCTGCTCCCTCGATTTGGGGCACTTTATAACTACACTCCAGCAATCACCCCATACTTGTTTTTATTTCCAGATCAGCTCATACATTATCTTGTTCAAAAGGCTTTTATCTGGATTAGCGACTTGTGTACTCTTGAAATACTTTCATGCATCTCTATGGAATTTTTTTTTTTCTTTTTTTCTTCCTTAAATGGTCAAATTTTAGGGTCCCTTTCTATACTCACTAAATGGAATTAGGCCATGTCTTAGTCTGAACCACTCTTAATGATGGGCACAAAGTAATCATTCCATCAGAGTTTGAAAGAATGAATAAATGGATCCAACCTTAACACAAATATATAAGATCTATATTACTTACCAATCTATACATGTTGTCTGTCTCCTTGTCTACCACCAACAGTGAAGTCTTATCTCCACCCTTCCTAATCATTTCCACCACACCATCATGATCGAGGTCTTCCACAGACTTGTCATTGACAGCAATGATCAGATCATTGTTCTTCAGGCCACCCTTCTCTGCTGGGCTTCCAGAGTCTATGTCCTTGATGATTTGACCGATGATTTGACCTCCCACCAGAAAAAGAAAGATTAAGTATAAGAAAGACCTCTAACGCTGCTTCAAACAGGATTCTGCTGGAACCCAAAGCCACAGTAAAATATCAAAGGCATGCTGGGCACAACTATACACCTTCTATTCCTACCTCACTCTCTGTTCAGAAATCACTCCAGGGACAAACCTGATCTTAAAGAAAAGCAGCATATTGTTTCTAAAAGTTTGACATCCAGCCTTGAAAAAATAGCATGCTATGCATTATCAGGAAATCAGTGAACATATTATATCCACATATAACATATCGGAGTTATGTCATAAAAAGGGGGGCAGGGAAGAATGAAGAACCCTTCAGACCCTAAGACATTCATGCTGGTGTTAACAATCGGGCTTATATTGGTTGTGAACATATGTTTGTGCACACCTCAAGGATGTGTCGTCAACCTCATGATTTCACTTTTCTCTACCAGATGCCTCCAAATTATTTGCACTTTTTTGTCCACAAGCTTTGTTTTTCAACAAGCTTTGTTTTTCCAGCTAGCTGTTGGGCTTTTTCAAGTATCCTGTAGTTCTCTCACATTTAATATATTGAAACCAAAGGTCATCTCTTCCTATCTCCCCATCCCAAAGGCCCGTCCTTCACCTTCCTAATCACTGATACTTAGAAACGGATTCAACTCCCACTCTCATAGTTCATTACAGTGCAGTGAAGTGTTTCATGTGGCTCTTCTACCCATAATCTGTAACTGAGACCTAATTCCACCCCCACCCCCCATGGGTCTGGGCAAGAGAAGGTGGAGAAGATGCCAATAGGATTACAATTCAGTTGTGAGTGATTATTGACAGGGTTATTGTTTGATTGCAGAAACTTGAAACTCTATCGTGGGTATAAAATGAGCCATCTCAGATGTAGACGTGGGCTCCTCACTACCATCAAGGAAGAACCACCAGGAGTTGAGTATGTCCTCTGGACCCTGAGATCCCTGAGTACTGAATCTCCTCAAACCAGGGAGAGAAAGCTGTCGTACCAGAGGCAAAGGAGTAGCAGTAGAACCAAGAGCCAGCGCACCAGAGTGGTAAAGTAAAGCAAGTGAAGTCAAATACCTTTGGACAGACTTATAGATGGGGGGAGTGTCCTTTGGGCATTTATTAGCAACCCTAAAAGACCTTTGTAACATTACCTGAGCAGGGCAGAGGTCAGACCAAGGGCCAAGGACTTTGACAGGCACAGCTGAGAAAAGGCTGTCCTGACCAAAGAACTGTGCTCCAAGCATTTCTATTCCTGTATTGTAACCTATTAACTTTTCTAATAGACCCCATAACTGTGAGCATGGTGTCTGAATTCTGTGTGGCCATTGCAATGAATTATTGAACCCAGCTGAGGAGAGTGCTGTGAGGTGGGATGGTTGGTGTTATTCTTTACATGACTCAATTACTAAGTCCTTCAATGTTATATTAATATTTTATACATCTTACCCACTTCTCTGTGGGTTGATGTGCCAGAATGCAAAGCCATTTGAACTGCAAGGTCAGCGGTTCAAGCTCCTCGGAAACCCTATACAGAGTCGCTGTGGGTCGGAACCGACTCGACGGCACTTCACAACAACAACCTACTTCTCTGGAGTCCTGGTGTGGCACTGCAGGTTAATGCACCAGACTGCAAAGTCAGTTTGAACCACAGGCTCAGAGATTCAAACTCACCAGCCACTCTGCAGAAACCCTAATACAAGGTCACTATGGGTCAGAACCGACTCGAGGGCACTTAACAGCCCTCTTCTGTAGTCCCACTTCTTCTATCCTAATGCAGTTTGTATGGCGGTGGTGTGGTGGTATGCCGTGGAGTCAGTTCCAACTTATAGTGACCCTGCATAGGGTTTCCGAGGCTGTAAATCTTTACAGGAGCAGAAAACCTCATCTTTCTCCTGTGGAACATCTGGTAGTTTCGAACTGCTGACCTTGAGGTTTAGCAGCCTGACTTGTAACCACTATACTACCAGAACTCCTTATATAATTCCTGTCGAGAATTCTACCTATACTACTACATCATCTTACTAATTTATCTCTTCTAGTAAATGAAGAATCCCTACAGTCAAAAAGTCTACATACAAGTAACTTGATATTCTTAAAAGCCCTAGAAGGTTTCACCAACTGCTCTCCTGATCCCTAATTCTTCGTTTTTTCAGTACCCACAGATTCATCTTCTACCTTCAGATTCATCTTCTTACTGCACACATCCAATCAAACTTGTTACCCCAGTGCAACAGAGGGAGCACAGGCTTTGGTACTAAACATACCTGAATTCGATCCCAGCTGTACCACAACTACGTGACCTTGCAAATCGTATCTTCCAGTTCTCACTTTCAGCAATTCTTTACAGAATTGTTAGGATTAGATGAGGTTTATAAAGCCCCAAGACACTGCATAGTGGTGGTGGTGTATCTTGGAGTTGGTTCTGACTCATAGTGACCCTGTATACAGTTTCTGAGGCTGTAAATCTTTACAGGAGCAGAAAGCCTCATCTTTTTCCTATGGAACGGCTGGTAGTTTCGAACTGCTGACCTTGAGGTTAGCAGCCCAATTCATAACCACTATACTACCAGAGCTCCTTGAAGACACTGTATAGGCTCAATTTTTTCTATTCTCACACTGCTCAAAAAACAAACAAAAAATTTCAACTCCCCATTAACTACAGAACGAAGTCCAAACTCCTCAAAGCCTTGCCTTAAAGTCCTTCACCATCTCAGCAACCTACTTTTCGTACTCAGTTTCCTATTCTACACAGTAGATTCCAAACTGTGTTTACCTGCTTTGTTCACATGGCTCTTACCTTCCTAGAATGGAACCTCCTTGCTCCATTCTACTTATCCAAATTCTATCCATATTATAAAGCTTAAACTCACGTGTCATGGCCTTACAATTTCAAAGAGAAATGCTTATTCTAACCTTGGATCCCTCATGGTAGTGGTTGTGTGCCATGGAGTCAGTTCCAACTCATAGCAACCCTGCATAGGGTTTCCAAGGCTGTAGATCTTTACAGGAGCAGAAAAGCCTCATCTCCTGCAGAACTGCTGGTGGTTTCGAACTGCTGACCTTGAGATTAGCAGTTCAACTCATCACCACTAGGCTACCAGAGCTCCTTGGATCCCTACGGCCCTTTATTAAGCTGTTTATCACCATCTATCTTGAGTTAGGGAAATATGTGTCTTATGTTCTCTACTAAGTGGTCGATTCCTTGACTGAAGAATTCCTATCTGATTCATTTGATAGCTTCAAAAGCCCCAAAGATGTTTTGTATATAACATGAACCCAATTCAACATATCTAATGAAAACAGCAAGTTCTGAGTAAAAAAAAAAATACCAGTTTGCATGACCTGAATCTACATTCTTTTATGAATTTTCATTCCCTGAGAGGACCTTAACCATTTCTCTCTTGAGTTGCAGGGAAGTCAGAGACTCTAGACTCTGGTTCCTATATCCTAACCCACACCTCTAGCCCAGATCTAGTGCTGTGCTGGATCTAGGCTCATGATACCAGTTCTGTACCTCTCTTCTCAACTTTGTGTTCAGAGACCTCGGACCGGTAGCTTGAAGTCAGGTCTGGTGGGATTCCACTGCAGAAATTTTCCAGAAAGCTAGTTTATTAGTGTGGTTGGTGGTTATGTACCGTGGAGTCGGTTCCAACCCTGTACAGGGTTTCCGAGGTTGTAAATCTTTACTGGAGTAGAAAGCCTCATCTTTCTCCCACAGAACAGCTGGTAGTTTCAAACTGCTGACCCTGAGAGGTTAGCAGCCCAATTCGTAACCACTACGCTACCAGAGCTCCTAAGTTTTATCCGTATAGCAGATCCCAAATTTTGCCTTTTAAAATATATATATGTTTGTATTTATTTACTTGTCCTTGTTACTCATCTATATTTTCATTTCTGGAGATTTAGTTTTTTGTTTTGTCTGCTTTTTATTGAAGTTTGGGTGAGAAAATTGACAGAGCAAATTGGTTTTCCATTTAGCAACTTACACCTTTTGTTTCCTGACAATGGTTACCGGCAATGCAATCGTACTCTTCCCACTTCCTCCATGATTCACCGTTTCCATTTGTCTTCCTTTTCTGACCCTTCCTGCCTTCTGAGCTTTATGTTTGGACAAATGCTGCCTACCTTTCTGTCTTGGACCGTCCTTCAGGTAGAAACCATAGCCATCACTGCCTTTCTTCATCTCCACCACTCGGGGATGGTGAGGTAGCAGTTTCAAACTAGTTGTTTCTCTATTGAACTGTATCTTCTCTTCTTTATAGCGCTTGTCAGTTTCCTTGTCTACTAACAGGAACATAACGCGGCTTCCTGACTTCTTCACCTACAAGAAGACATGCAGGTGAGGATCATCATCAACCCCCAAAAACAACACTATAGAACAGGGAAGTTTCTCCATAAAGGCACACCGTGTCTAGGTTTAAAGTTGTGCTGTACTGTGTCCTAAAATCTGTGATTTATTGGCCTCCAGATCTGATGCTGTAAGGATGACCTCACCCATATAGATATCAGTTAACCTAAGTGAGCACTGGAATTCAGAAAACTCAGATGTTCTTTAGACTACTTTTCTTCAAGATTTCATGAGACAATCAAAAGACTTTATTCCAAATCCTATATTAACACTTCTTATACTACTAGCTGCTCCTTGGAAACCCTATACAGGGTCGCTATGTGTCAGAAGGGACCAGTTGCTGGAGAAGGATATCATGCTTGGTAGGGTGGAGGGTAAGAGAAAAAGAGGAAGACCCCCAGTGAGATGAATTGGCAAAGTGGCAGCATCAATGGGCTCAAGCATGGCAACTATGGTAAGGTTGGCCCAGTGTTTCACTCTGCTGTGCATAAGGTTGCCATTGAGTCGGTAGCGACTCGATGGCACCTAACAACAACATGGGTCAGAATTGACTCTACAGCACTTAACAACAACATACTACTAGCAGTACTCCTGTTGTGGTGCTGCAGGATCACCTCTGGACTGCAAACCACAGGTCGCTAGTTCAAACCCACCAGCTGCTCCTCAAAGTTCCTCGGAAACCCTATGGAGTGTTACTACAAGTCGGAACCGAATCGACAGCACACAATAACATACTGCTACTAGTAATTATGTTCACCATTCACCATTAAAAATGAAGAAACAACTCAGCTGAATAGTCCTATCCAACTCATTCTCTCCCCTACCATCCCTGTTTTTTCTTGACACCTCTGATGAGGGCAGAATGAAAAAGGGTTAAAAAAAAAAAAAAAAAAAATCCAGCATTCCTCTGGCTTGTACCTTTTCAACCACTTCCTCATGGCTGGCATTTTCTACATTCTCTCCATTCACTTCAATCAAATGATCATCAGGTAGGACACCAGCTTTCATAGCCACACCTTGAGGTGTGATGTCAGTCATGTACACTCCCTTTTTACCTGAAGGGGGTAGGAAGTGGACAAGGGTTACAACTCTATTGTACAAACTAAATGGCAAACGATAAAGGGTTTTCTTCCAGTAATTTAAAATTAGAACTTCCAATTTTAAGACAAACTCAAATAGTACATTTGTAGATGAGAAGCCAAGGGCTAAGTTCAAACCTCAGCACAGGTTTCATTCAACTTATGTGTGCTGATTTTAGTAGAATGTCTCATCTCAAGTAAATGCAAGGAAAGCATCTGAGGTGACTCTGGCCCTTGAACCAGAAAGCACTAAACAATGACCATGATGCTTTATTGTGTCATATTGCCCCTTCTCTTTCTTTGCATTTGTAGAATTAGAAAGCAGCCACTCTGTTTCCTCCTCTTTAGTTAGTACTACCACTAACCATCACGTTTCAAAGGAGTCAATAAATTTCACTGACACAAGTTAATGAGAGTAGTGGGCACAGAAGGAAAGGAGAGCATACAAGCATACGGTCAGTCTGGATTCGTAGTTGGTGCTAAAGAAATACTGTCAATTCTTTCAAGATATTGTTATTTCAACATAAGCAAAAGGTAGATTGGTAACAACTAGTAAACAAACTGTTTCCTTAAACACTCACCATGTCTCCTGTAATCTTATTTTCCATAGTGGGAAAAAAATATTATAAAACTAACCTAACCTCACCATTTATTATATAAATTATCATAGGAACCAAATGAGTAGAATCTCTAAGTTATTTAAAACATTTTACTGATAATGAACTTCTAGTAAATACCAAGTTTTCCTTGATCATCTACCCCAAAGGGTTTAATAACGACAAAACTTGAGAAACACTTTTTATGGTTAGTTTAAATCTCTTGCTACACGTGAAATGAGCCTTGGAGATGATTTTCTGTTTCCCATTGGTCTGTTCCTCTTATCCCTTAAACTATGACTAATCCCAATGCTTCTCTACTGAAAGAACGTGGGCAGGGACAACATTAGAGATGAAACCAACAAGCCAACATAGTTCCTCAATCTAGATCCCAGAGAAACCATTACAGAACTATGGTCAACTGAGCACCGGTCTGTCTGTACCTCTAAAATTCTACAAATAGAATGTCTAGTACTTTCTGATAGTGTTTCTCAAGTCACTATGTACCCCTCAGCTAGAGGTCAAGGCTATACCCCAGAACAGGTGAAACTAGGCCACAGCTGAGGATACTATGTGAGTGTCACAGCAAGGGATGGGTTTTTGCAGTATCCCCAGCACTTAATAGTATCTGACACACAGTAGGTGCTCAAGAACTTACTGAATAACCTGGGCATTCTGAAGGATGTTGTCAAATGTAGCTATTATTTTAAAATTCCTTTTTCTTGCCTCTTATTCTCTACCGTCTCTCCTCCATCTTCACCCTAAAGAAACTAGAAAACAAAGTACCAGCCCTCTAACCCTCTGGCCTCAAAGGTTCATCTTGACAAACTGGAAAACAGGAATACCCAGCATCCCTCCACTGCTGTCCAACGTTCTAACCCTCAGAGGCAAAGTAAAGGGCAAGGCTATCCATAGCCAATGAGAAGTTGGTGAAAGAAGAAAAGTCATTAATCAGTCACATCATGTTTCTAGGAAGAAAATTGTCCATTTCCACGTTCAAAGCTTACCTTGGACTGTTTTCAGAGAGAAACCATAGCTGTTTCCCTCCTTCACCAGGTAGCATAGCCGAGGCTGGGTCCAAATCTCTGCTTCACCATTCATCACCAGGGGCAACTCCTTCTCACTCAAACCTGGTGACTGACTTTGCCCCAATTCCTTCAAGTCTACCTGTTTTTTAATGGCTTTCTCATAGGAGTTCCCATCCAAAACTAACAAAGTTACTGAATTTCCACTATTTCTGACGAGATCTACAACCTAGGAGGAAGGAAGAAAAAAAAAGTATTAACCAATAATTCTTTAACACTGGCCAAAAGGAAACGCTCACCACCGGCCCTGGAGAATTTGATGGCTGATCCCCGAGACCCAAATAGTAAGCAGATAGTGCCTCAACCAACCTCTCTAGCCCCCCAAGATCTAGGTGCAAATTAGGCTGGGCCTCTGGCACTCCAGCCCAGAGGACCCTTCCAAGGATTAGTGTACTCTGGAGATGAGTATTGCCCTAAAGAATAGGTCTTCACAAGCCCATGGTGTAATGAAAAGCAATCACCCACTTGGAGTCAGACTGAATTCAGTTCAAGATGAGGTGTTCCTCATATAGTCACTCCTTAAGCATATTAATTAGCAAGCTGAGCCTGTACTTCAGCTGTGAAACTGTTAACATCTATACCTCACAGGACTGTGGTAAGGATTTAACGAAAGAATGAATATGAACAGAGATGGAGGCAGAGATAGGGACATAGAAAGAAGGAGCAGCTGAGGGCTCTAGATTCATGGAAAAAGAGGGACTAAGAGCTGGTGGCCAGGAGGCAGACTTGCAGAATGTGCCTTTGATGGTGTAAATTATTATATATGCCTGAGTGTTTAAAAAAAAAGAGCTAAAGTGAATAGAGAGAAATAATGTTAACTGATGGTACATGGAGGGGATTATAATCATTGTAATGAAACAAGGTATATGATTTGTTGAATGTAAAACTGATGATCTACCCTGTAAACTTTCATTCAATCCACAATAAGGACCTTAAAAAAAGAAAAAAAAATAAGTATAGACAAGGGGGAAAAAAAATACATGAAATTGCCTAGCACAGTCCCTGGCATGAAATGAATGTTAGCCTTAACATTACTCAAAGCTGGGAATAATTTCGATAGTTCTTGGTTAATTAATAGTAAAGTTGATTGAGCCACAGAAGGTACAGAAATAAAGTTGTCCTGCCTTTCCAGAAGAAGCCAGGAAAGAACCAAACTCCCATTGGCCTCAGAAACTATGCCCATCAGGGAAGATGTAGGGCTGAAAAAATCCTAGGAAGGAGAACTCGAGATGTGTCATTCACCTGCATATGTTCTTCTTTGTCCACAAAAACACCATTGATCCTAAGAACTCTGTCTCCATCCTGGAGGCCAGCCTTCTCTGCTGGGCTACCCTTCTCAATGACTCGGACCAGATGGCCATCGGTGTCCTTCTCAATTCTCAGGAAGAAACCATAGCTTTGCCCTTCTTGTTTGGCTAGCTTACATTCTCGGGGGTTGAAGGTTGAGGTCATTTCTGTGATGAAAAACAGATGGTAAATCCATGGGCAATAAAGCCTAACTGGAATGAGAACTCGGTCCTCTATTTCCTGTAATTCTATTTTTCTAAATCCACCAAGTCTAGAATACTTGGGTAGCAGCAATGTTGGGCGTTCATCAGACCACTTTACAGGCCTTGCTAATGGCTTCCAAATCTATAGCCCCAAAAAGCATAATCCTTTTAGTTTCAGGTCCATGTAGTTAACAGTACTAGGGACAGATGCTTCCTATTTCAATAGCCCTCAGATCAAATTCTTCTTTCTACCTAGACCAAAGAAATTAGGTCCAAATACAAAATTTAAAAAAACAAAATCAACAAAGAAAAAAAAAAAAAAAATTGAAGACAAAACCAAAACACCAAACCAGTTTCCATCAAATCAGTTTCAACTCATGGCAACCCCATGGATGTCAGAACAGAACTGAGCTGCATAAGGTTTTCACTGGCTGTAAGCTTAAAGATAAGGAGTTCTGGTAGCGTAGTGGTTACGAATTGAGTTGCAAACTGTAAGGTCAGCAGTTCACAACTACCAGCTGTTCCGCGGGAGAACGAGGCTTTCTGCTCCCATAAAGATTTACAGCCTCGGAAACCCTGTACAGGGTCGCTATGAGCTGGAACTGAGACTCCACAGCACATAACAACAAGCTTAAAGATAAGGAGCTCTGGTAGCATAGTGGTTACAAGTTGGGCTGTTAACCTCAAAGTCAGCAGTTCGAAACTACCAGCCGTTCTGTGGGAGAAAGATGAGGCTTTCTGCTCCAGTAAAGATTTACAGCCTCAGAAACCCTGTACAGGGTCGCTATGAGTTGGAACCAACTCCACGGCACATAACCACCACCACACCAAGCTTAAAGATCTCCAGACCTTTCTTCTGTGGTACCACTGGGTGAATTTATACCAAACTTTCAGTTAATGTTAAGTGCCGTCGAGTCAGGTCCGACTCATAACGACCCTGTATAGGGTTTCCGAGGAACAGCTGGTGAGCTTGAACCGCTGCCTTGCAGTTCAAACCAACTTTGCAGCTCAGCGCATTAACCCAAAGCACCACACCAGGACTCAGTTAATAGTCAAACATAAAGCTTATTTTTGCCCATCCAAGCCCACTTTTACTCACAATTTTCAAATTATTTTCAGAGCCTATTAAGATCTGGGCACTGAGGATAAATCCATGGACAAGACAGACCCATACCTCAACTTCACACATCAGGGAAAACAAAATTGCATTTTTACATGTAGTATGTGTTAAGCTAGGGAAGGATAGAGTATTAAGAATATGATGCGGTATGGAATGGGAATATGGAATGGGGATGGGAAGTAGAAATGACTTCTTGGAAGAATGATGTTTCTAAGGCCAGTAAGATTAGTGAAGTGAGGTGAGGAAGGACAGGACCAGGAAGATCTCAATTAAACAGAAGACAGTCTTCAGAGCTGCTTCACTGACGATACAGTAGAAAAGTAGATTCTCAGGTGCAAAAAATGTATGACAGCACCAACCATCCCTCCCACGACATACTCTACTTCTCATCTGTTTGATAGTTCATTGCAATGGCTACACAGAAGTCAAACACCCTACGCACAGTTTGAGGTTCGTTGGGAAAGTTAACAGATTACAATGCAGGATCTGAAAATGCTCAGGACACAGTTCTTCCCATCAGAACAGCGTCTTTTCAACCATGCCCATGATGTTACAAAGTTCTTTTAGGGCTACTGGTAACTGCCCACAGGACACACCACTCTACTATAAGCCTCAACCTGAAGGTACTTGGCGCTAGTTCTGTGGGTCAGCAAACCTAGCCCTGCCAATTAAGCCTGGAGGCACACCCCACTCTGCAAACAAGCCTCCTGCCCAAAATCATTCAGCTTTACTTGTTCTGTAGATTGGAAACCCCACGGCTCTGGCTCTTGATTCTGCTGTTCCAGTTCCTCTGCCACAACTCCAGTGTCACAGCTTTCTGTCCCTGGGTCAAGGAGGACCAATGCACAGGGATCTCAGGGTTCAAAGAACATGCTTCCCCCTCCGCCTGGCTCTTCTTTGATGGTAGTGAGATCTGCTCTCCTGCTTCTGAAATGGTTTGTTTTAGACCCATGTGGTGCTACAGGATAAGCACTAGACTGCAAACCACACGGTTGGCAGTTCAAACCCACTACTCACTCCTCAGGAAACCTATATAGTGTTGCTATGAGTCAGAACCAACTCAACAGTACTTAACAAGAGTTCCAAGTATTTACAATTACAACTAACTATTAACATTCACAGCTGAATCGTATCATCCTAACAGTATCTTCTGTCATCTGCTCTTACTCAGACCCAAGGGCAGAGACATTGTTGGTAGGAATTACAGACTATGGCTAGATGAGCCATTATTAAGTTCACTAGACAACAGGACCTTGTGATTTCAAATCACAGCAGAGTTGTTGTTGTTTCGTGCCGTCAAGTCAATTCCGACTCAGAGATCTTGTATAGGACTTCCAACGAGCAGCTGGTGAGCCTGAACCACCAACCCTGTAGCTCAAATAACTTTCAGTCTGACATATTCACAGCAGAGTAGAGATACCCAATATTCCTGTATCTGGGTCATTTTCTCCCTGCTAAAACAGCTTCCTTCCCATCCCTCCAGTTACCCTATTTCAGAAACAAGGTCCTATTATGCCAGAGAATGAAGACTGGATAATGACAAAAAACCAAAAGCTAGAACTTTAGGTCCCAGTTATTAAGGGGATGCTGTTGTTATGTGCCGTGGAGTCAGTTCTGACTCATAGCAATTTATACCGAGGGTATAAATCTTTTCAGGAGCAGAACACCTCATCTTTCTCCCACGGAACAGCTGATAGTTTTGAACTGCTGACCACTACACTACCAGATGACTCCTGTCAATTCAAATCTTTTGCTTTCATAGGATAATCAATGCAGACTAGGCCAGTAAGAGGCAGACATGAGGCAAAATGTCTTAGAGCAGAAGGCAGGACTCTGCTCACTAAGGTGTCTGCAAAGCACGTGCGCGCATTCCCCTTGTCACAGTACCAACTATCTGTCCCTTCCCTCTTAGAAGAGGAACTGATAATCATACCAGGTGTGGGTGGCTGGGTAGAGAATAGGCAGCAAAGTGCACCAGACTCCTTAGAAGCCTCACCATGGCAATTTGAGATAGTCATCTCTGACCCTGGTGCCCACAGAAGACACAGTACTCACCCAGTCAAAGCCTCCCTCTGCCCACTTGATTGCCGTTCCTGCAGTCTCAGCAAAGTCTGGCAGCCATGCTGCCAATGGCATAAATGACTAAGCTAAAAATGACAAATTTTCAAGTGAGCTCTTAATCAAGGACTCAGGGCCTGAGCCCTCCCCAAGTTTCAAGGGAGAAGGAAGTGAAGCCACATCTGACAGTGGTCATCATCTACACTCACAGGAAAGGAGTTTCTTGCGTCACTTTCCTGGCATGAGCAGTTGCCAGGAAAATGCCACTCTGCAGAGAAAGGAGGACAGCAGAAGTTAGGGGAGAGTCTCATGGGTCGTGACAGAATATTGCTGGAAGAGGAGCCTTCTAGGTTGGAAAGCACTCAAAATAGACAGTGGCCTTCAACAATGCACCTAAGCACACCAACGATCCTGAAGATAGTACAAGACTAGCTATCATCTTGTTCTGTTGCACATGGGATTTCCATGAGTTGGAGCCAACTTGACAGCAATGAACAATGACAGACATCAGAGCCAGGATTCCTCACATGCAGCACCTGGTGTGGTCTGCCATTTCTGCTGTTCATATGGGCTCCAGTCTGTCTTCCAACTCAAATTCACATCTATGCACAAGCTTACCTTTAAGTTCTTCATCAACTCATTTTCAGGGCTAAAACATTTGTAGAAAAAAAAATCTAATTGTTAAGAAAACTTCATCCAAATCCTACAAAATTAAAATTATGATGTCCTTGCTTGTAGTCAAAATTAGTTTGTCATTAAAAAAAAAAAAAAAAAATTAGTTTGTCTTTAGTCTGGAAGCTCTGCTGATACTTGTCCACCATGAGCGACCCTACTAGTGTTTGAAATACTAGTAGCATAGCTTCCAACATCATAGCAACATGCAAGGCACCACAGTAATAAAGACACACTAGGAAGGTAGGTCTGGCGGTCTATTTCTGAAAATTAGCCAGTGAAGAGCCTACAAACCACAACAGAACATTGTCCATATAGTGCTGGATGATGAGCAGGTAGGTTGGAAGGCACTCAAGATGGACAGCAAACACAATGCACTAGAGTTCACCAACAATCATGAAAATGGTGCAAGACTGGGTAATGTTTTGTTCTGTTGTACAGAAGGGTCCCATGAGTCAGAGTCAACTTGATTGCAGCTAACGACTATCAAAAACATCAAAGACCACAACTTTCAGTATGCGTAGCACCTCAATGTAAAGAAGACAAAAATCCTCACCACTGGACAAATAAACAATATCCATGTAAATGGAGAAAAGACTGAAGTTGTCAAAGACTTCATTTTGCTCAAATTAACCATCAACACTCACAGAAGCAGCAGTCAAGAAATTAAATGACATATTGCATTAGGCATATCTGCGGAACAAGACCTCTTTAAAGAGTTCAAGAGCAAAGTTGTCACTTTGAGAACTATGGTGTGTCTGATCCAAGCCATGATATTTTCAGTAACGTCATATGCATGCCAAAGTTAAGTCAATAAAGAAGTCCATTTTAAAGAATTGATGCATTTGAGTTATAGTGTTGAAAGGGAATATTAAAAGTACCATGGACTGACGGCCAAAAGAACAAACCAATCTGTGTTGGAAGAAGTGCAGCCAGAATGCTCCTTGGAAGCCAGGATGGCCAGACTTTGCCTCTCATACTTCAGACATACTGTCAGGAGGGGACCAGTCCCTGGAGAAGGATATCATGTTTGGTAAAGTGGAGAGTCAAAGAAAAAGAGGAAGACCCCTGAACTAGATGGATTGTCACAGTGGCAGCAGCAATGGGCTCAA